TCCTTCCTTCCTTCCTTCCTTCCTTCCTTCCTTCCCCCCTACTGCCCTTCGTTCCTTCTCCTGCCGTGCCTTTCTGTCCTCTCACCTTGTTTTCTCTCTCTCTCTCTCTCTCTCACTCACACACAAACATCCCTTCCTTCCTTCCTGCGTGCCTGCCTGCCTGCCTCTGCCTCTCTTTTCTTTGGCTGGGCCACAGCAAATGTGGCGACCTGGAGGAAGAGCTGAAAATTGTCACCAACAACCTAAAGTCCTTGGAAGCCCAGGCAGATAAGGTAGGGGGGGCCCCGTGGGGGGAGGCTGAGGGGCTCCGTGGTGGGCCCTGGAGCTGGAGGCAGGCAGGAGGGGGGCGGGGGCGGGGAGCAGCTCCTGAAGCCACCTGGGAGGCGAGGCCCTTGTCCGCTTGACCCGTATCCCGTCTGACACCTCTCCCCCCTCCACCCCCCACAGTATTCCACCAAGGAGGATAAATACGAAGAGGAGATCAAGGTGTTGACAGACAAGCTCAAAGAGGTGAGGGCGCAGAGAGGGGCGCTGCAGGGGCGGGTGCTGCAGTGGGGTGGGCCTGAGTTCTGGGGTGTTGGTTCCAGTGCTCTGGCCAGGTTAGGGTTTCAGGTGGGATTTCGGGAGGCTTCTGGAAGGAAAGAGGCCCAGAGTCTTGGTCGGCTCCTCCTGGCATTGACCGGCCACTGCCTGCCCTGAATGCCCACACTGTGGCACCCGCGCCCGCCTGGCTTGCCATCCGATGGACAGCCGGGGTGGCTCAGCCGCTGAAGGCCTCCCCGGAGGAAGGCTCCGTGTTGGTGGGAGTTTTTTTTTGGGGGGGGAGAGAATCTTCTTCATTCCTTCCTTCCTTCCTTCCTTCTGCGGGTGTGTGTGTGTGTAAGTATTTGGCCTCCCTCCCTCCTCCCCCTCTGCCAGGGCTGGGCGGTGGGGGGGGATTTGAAAAGGGAATAGTAGGACTCATATCTTGCCCTGCACTGTATCATGCTACATATATTCATTTATTTGGAATGTTTCTAAGCCACCTCTCCGGAGTGCCTGTTTGAGGAATGGCCTGATGAACAAAGCTGAGCCCCATTGGCACCTTTTCTGCGGGGAGAAGCAATATGGGTGGGTGGGTGGGAGCAGAGGGAGGGGGCGGAGAGGAGAAGCAGCCGCTGGTTTTACTGTTGCCTTGTTTGGTTGGTTGTTTTCAAGTAGAATCCAGAGTCGGTAGGCAGAGAGGGTCAGGCTGCAGGTCCCACCGCTTCCCACGAGTAAGGCGGATGTTTCCTGGCAGGGTGAGCAGCCGCCTCAGTGGAGACGTGTGGCCCTATTGCCGATCTCCAGGTAGCCCTGGGTGGCGACTTGCATTGCTTTCACGCCACACGTTGGGGTCTGGGCGCCTTCTCATGCGGGAAGAGAAACCTCAGCCTTCTCAGAGAATGATCAAGGTTCAGTTTTAAGAGAGAACTGGAGATGTGTTGGTTGCATTCAGATTTCGTTTTAAAATGAGTTTTGTTTTTAAAGAAATGCTATAAGTGATTTTGTGTAACTGTCAGCAGTTGTTAAAACTTCCTGGCCAGTTTGTATGGGAACACTAACGCAGCTTTAAAGAATCAGCTGAACGTCCAGTCACACTCGCCCAGCCCTGCCCTGCCCCGCCCTGCCGTGGTGGCAC